TCAAATAGTCACAATTTGAATCAAACGCCTCCATTGTATCCTGAGAGAGATTTTCTATCATACCCCGGTCGTGACTTTGTTGGAAAGGGGAGAAACATCTCTTAAAAGATAACGATTTTTGTGCCTTGGAGTTATTAATTATTCCAGATTTCCTACATATTTCCTGACACTTCGAACACAAATTAAGGATAATTCGGAATCAACGCTCGCGAGATGGAAAAGTAAGAAAAATCCAAGTTATGCATAGGCCGTGGATGATCTCAGGATTTTTGACAAAAGTAAGAAAAATCCAACTTACGCCTGGGCCTTGGATGATATCAGAATTTTTGAGGTGGATTAATCGACTTATTCTTTTCCTAAATATCCTTTTCAATTACATGATGTTGAATTCAATATTATCATGGAAAGCCACATATGACCTCTAAATTTTTTAAAAATTTCCTAGTCAGATTTTCTGTGGTAATAGTTTTTTTTTTTTTTAATAGTATTTTAATAAATTTAATTTTTTGATAAAAATCTCATCAACATAAAATAAAATCTCTTTATAGTTATTCTGTTGAGACCAAACTAATTTTTGAACTATGAGGAGATTATATTAACTTAATAGAGGTGTAGTTACGAAAATTCTTATTTTGACTTAAAGTATACTTATTGCAAGTGGTGTAGAGGTAAAGTATGTGGTGTAGAAAATATACGAAGTTATGGTAAAAGTCTAAATTTTAAAAATCTAGTACATGTATCTATGTGGTGTAGAAAATATACGAAGTTAGGGTAAAAGTCAAAATTTTATATCTCTTTAAGGTTTTTCAGATACATTGTATAATACAACCCAGGCAATTTTCAACCAATTGAAGTGATACATTTCCTTCTTCCTCTAGCAAATCAACGATGCCACCCAAAGTTGATACACGAACTCAAATGACCAAAAGTATTCGTGTTGAATTGTGCAATGTGAAAGAATCAAACTCCATCTAGAAGCAAAAAGATCTTGTGAAGCGGTTAGATGATACTCATGGTCCTAAGGTATCACAATAAGCAATATATAAGATACTAAAAACGATCAATTGACTTGAAGAAGTATTATTGAACTCAACTGCAAAACGTTCAAAGATGATAAAGTGCCCTACATTGGAGTTTGCCCTCTATGATTGATTTGTAGGTCATCAAGAGCATGTCAATATGAG